TCTAAATCAAACTATTTACTTACAGACGAAAATTTTAAATTAAAAATAAAAATGTCAATTTTAAATTATTAAATGTAAATAGAAATAGAAATATAATTAATTAAATTATAAAAGAAATTATTAGATTCATTTTATAAAACAAAAATGTGAAGATTAAAACGTTTGTTTATATGCAAATAATTTTTTTATATAAAGATTCAGAATCGAATTATTATATTGACAATTATTAATTTTATTATGATTTGTTACCCAACCATGTCATATACAGCATACACATTAAAAAATACAAGTTTATATAGGTGAAACTTTATACAACAATGATAAACTAACAATATGATTGAATTTTTACATAATTGTAATAACCTATCACGATATAGAGCTAAAAAAAATATACAATCAAAAACATGCATTAATCTAATAAATCTCTCGGTCGCCTGAATCATAAAAGAAGTAAAGTGTGAGCCTTATGCGCATAAAAATGAGGAAGAGTATACTGAACGGTACCTCAAATACTCTTGCAACTTTCTAAACTAATAAAGATCATCGGCTTTGTTAAGAAAGGCGTTAGATTTCACATTTGTAGGCTACTGTATCAACATATTCAATGATGGTGGGTATTTGTCTATTCCATACCGTCCACACCAATCAAAGTCTATTAATATTGCTCGTTGCGTTTCATGCTGATTATACACCAGAATATTTGGAGGACGAAGATCAGCAAACACATAGTTATTTTCATATAGCAAATTAATAGCAAATTTTATATCGTCATAAATAGAATTTTGATGCAAAATCTCGATTTTATCAAATTTCTTATTCAGTGAGGTGCTGAAATATTCCATAATAATCATCTTATATCCGCCAAGAGCTCAGATTTCATTATCAGCACTACAATATAACAGTTTTGGAGCATAACCTTTACTATGGCAGATATCATGTGCATTTCTATTGTATTCGGTCACAAATTTCATGACAATTATTTTATTATTATCTGTATTGGCTTTTCAGATAGTTCTTGTATGATCATCTGCAAGCTCCTCAGTGTAGGTGAAATTAACTATTTTCCGTTGATTGGAAAACTTCGAAGATAGGGAAAATACCGCTGTCCTGTTTGATTTAAGTCCAACCCCTGGTAAAAAATGCTAAGCTTTTCAAAGGCAAGTCATAACGCCTGAAAAAGTCGAGCAATCTGATTTACTTGGTCTTTATTTTGTAGGTCAATTGTAAGAATAATGGAATCTGTTAGCGGCTGAACTACTATCCTGTTAAGGAAAACACCTCCAAAAATACAAAACTATGGTCCGGCAATGGTGATAATAAAGGATGGTGCAAAACAGCAGTCTCAAATCTGGTCAGCCTAAATAAAAGGTATCACATGAGCACATGAATTTGCATAGCACTAGTTATGGGATAAATATTAAACATACTGATGACTGAGACCAATAATCTCGGTAATATATTGCTTCTTGAATACTGGGATCAGTTCCATCAGATCCAACTTCATTTTTTCCTTCGAATATCTCCATAATAGCATTGTGAATGCCTACTTTAGTCGTAAGTATTCCATCGCTCTTACAACCTTTTCTTCTGTAACTAATCACTGAAATGGTGCCAAATTATTTTGAAAGTATCTCTCTTATTATATCCATACGTTCGTCTTTGATGGTATATCTATCTGTTTCTGCAGAAATAATATCTACGACCCACTCTATAATATCGGAAAGCACTACCAAATCTGTATTCCTAAAGTCTTCAAGAAATTAACCAAAGGTTCTATTGTGAATAGTAATAGGAGAACCAGTATGTTCAAGTGGTCGACCATTAAGGATTGGATTTTCTTGTTGATTTGAGAAGAAGTTAGAAGGCTTAGCACTAGTCAAAGGAGGGTTTGCTTTAAGACCAAGATTAACAGTTTCCTTGTATTCTATAATGAAGAAAAGAAATAAGCCATTTGAATTTAACTTTGATACCTTAAAAATAAAAGGTAACCTTTTTCGCGCTTTAGCTGTTTAAATTTCGTCTCTGAGAGTGGAACCAAAAGATCAAGTTCTTCGACTGGAGTAAATGAGATGTCAATGGTTGGGTGATCACTTATAGATAAGATAGTACACTTACTATAATCAAGCTTATAACTATGTTTTACACGAAACGCTGCCAGCTCTGCTCTTAATTCTTCTATTTCTTGATCCATAATACAAGGCATAAGTTAGTAACTGAAATGACAGTGAAAAAATGATACAGTGCAGATAACACTGACTCACTTACCATCTACGATAATGCGAATGGATTTTTTGGTCGGCGTTTGATGATAAGAAGGAAAAAAAGCACAAGATTAAGTTAGTACTCAGTATTTCTGAAAAATATGACAGAGAAAACAAAATATTATGCTATTTCACGTCTAAAATTTTTACCTACCAGTATTGGGAGTTCTAACTACAACTCGAACGTTGTTTCCTTGAACGTCATGAAAAGCTTCTCCAATTTTTTGTGCTGCATCTTCTAATTCTTCATTTAATATTTCAGAAGTAATTTGAGATGCGTTAACTCTCCATAGTGTAAGCGCACTAGGAGCAAAAATATCAAAGCATGGTTTTTGTTCTTCCTTAATAGCTTTCTTGAGATCGTCAATGTCATTTCCGTCTCCAATAATGACTTTGAATTTAAAATTACTTCGTAGTTCAAAACACTGTTAGTAATAATACTCCAAACAATTACTGTAACAATTGTTATTTGTGATCTACAAACTACTAGTGATCTACTAGTT